TTTGTGATTAAAAATCAGTTTACTCTAGTTTTTTTCCTCATTCTTTTTTAGAATTCTGCCACTATTTCCCTTTACACGCATTTATTCTAATTAGCTTACTACATGACGACTTTACCCAAGGGCTAACTATGTCGTGAGCTGTTAACTTATAGCAATAAATTTTACACTCACCCTCATGTTGGCACCTGTACCTATCCTACATGGCCTGGTACAACTTTTCTACATTGGTGGCATATCTTTCTAGTGCATATGAAGATACATGTAATTGTAGTAGGAGTGTTAGACTGTATCCGTATCTGAGGAAATATTCGTAACCGTATCCATTAGGATACTTACTCAAATCTATAACCGATAGGATATGGTTACGGATATGGTTTTGTAGTGAAATATCCGTATTCGTATCCGTGATATCTGAATACATATTGTCATACTCTTGTTGGAAATTCGTGCTAATTACATGCAAAATACACAACGGAAGACTGTATGTATAATAATACTAAGCATGTAGAGAGCATGAAATACAAACTAGGACCATCCTAATTAAATCTAATATGATCCCTATATTAAAGAGAGCAACCAAAAGCTTTGAAGGCTTACCCTCATTGTAGTGGATCTCCAAGTCTTCAAGTGAGCTTGATAAAAATCGGAGTCTTCTTGAGACACAAGGCAAGATATCCACCCCGGGGTACTATAAAATCCTACTACTTCCTCTTACTCAAAGATTGCTAGAGTTTAGTAAGAGGTAGAGCTCTCTTTTTTTATTCTCTTATGGAAAAAACCACTTAGCCAATTTTTCATTAACCTTTCTATAAGAGAGAGAGCTCAAATATATAGAGTGAGATATGTCATGACTCATCTCATGAGTCATGCCATGAGTCATCTAAATGTAATGATTCCTTTCATGAGTCATGCAATGACTCATCTCATGAGTCATGCAAAGAGTCATGAAGAATCAAAACTATGTGCTAAAACCATGTGTTCAAACCAATACCACCTTAATGACTCATTAATCAAGGTATAATAAATTGTGTATTTCATAAATAAAAATACCACATCAATACGGTGTTTCATAAATACGGTATCGCGTAATTTTCCAATCATTAACTAATAAGTTATCATATGACCAAAAAAATCAATGAGTTGACTAAAAGTCAACTGTTGACCAAAAAGTCAACCAATTGACTAAAAGTTAACTTTATAGGAAAAATACTGGAATTTATTTCTTAAGCACATAGCATTCTGATTTTACCGATTCATATAACCGTTTATGTGTATCCGATGAAAATCATATATGCGTATCAATCATACGCATTTAACTCTATAAATTGTATTCCATAAGATTCAAGTATGCGCTTGGTGTGAGTCTAGGGCCCAACTTAAAACTCGACAGTGGATCATATCCATAAGTACAACAAAGGTGCTAGCTACACATGAAGACTATCCGGGTATAAGTTATGATAAACGTCTGCAAGATGCTTATATAATTTTATCAGAACCACTTGGTGATAATATTATACAATCCGGTCTCTTCATCAAACAATGTCAAACTATCGAGCAAAGGGTATGGTAAACTGTCAAACCCTAATAGTTTGATTAGTGTTTGTTGATATTAAACTCATATCCTTTAAGATCAAACTGACCCTCAGTTTATCTTATTTACCTTCGCCAAGGATTTTCAGGCTATAGTTATATCAAACAATCTTATGACATCAACCCCCTATATTGGGAGAGACGAATTCCATCTTGGCATCTCAATATCTACTTATGTCTCGGGATGCACTCAACAAGAACCGTTATGCACAACTCATTGAGAACTGTGGTTAGGTAAAAGTCAAGTACACGTATACTGACATGTAAGATATTACACTCATGTTTTAGATCAAGAGACTACTTTGTACTATATCACTTTAGAGCTTCTATTTGATAGTTAAGTATAATTACCAACTAAACGTTCTCAGTGAGTCGTTCAGTCAACTCATTCACTAATGAGTCACTTGTATACTATATCTTGATATCTTACATCAATAATCCAAGTGATGGATCATCATCCTACCAAAGGAGAAATAGAGTATACACTAGTCTTTCCAAAGTAATGATGTCCCATTTCTACACTTCATCGACTAGGAATATTTTAGAATATACGTTAGCTACAAATCAGATCTCTTCATTACGATCATATCCGAAATGTCTGATAGTCTAGTATCATTCTAAGGACTTTATCTGTATTAAAATAGCAGATAAATCTGACCAAAATAGTATACTATCATTTTGAATAAGGATGTTATATTCATATAGGTCCTATTATAATATACAATTATTGCCTGCAAGGCACCTATATCTAACAACTCTTACGATATTTTGATTCTTAGATTATGGATTTGTGGTTAATTTTGATGATCAAGATGTCTAATTTTAGCTTTTCGATCATAATGAACATATTAACGAACTCTTTTGTATCACATGAACTATATTTTTCTTAATACTATCTAGTTTTCTCATATCCTTTTTGTATATGCATGCATATCCGTTTATATATCCGCATCTATATCTATAACCGTATCCGATTTTGACGGATATGGATATGAATTTTTCTTACCGACGTATATCCGTATTCGTATCCGAGATGGATAAGCAGATATCCGAGATGGATAAGCGGATATGGATATGGTAAGCATCATATCCGAGCCGTATCCGGACCAAATGCATCCCTAATTTGTCGTGCTTTCATGGCATCATGTTAAATATAGAAGCTAGATCTCATTTTCCATATAAATACTATATTGTGGAGAAGGTTTTTTCGCCCTTTCTTATCTGAAAGGATTGTATAATGAATTTTTGCATATCTGAACATGGCAAAAGTTTACTGTGGCTGAAGCTAGAATCTTTTTAAAGAATAATTCAAATCTACGCTACTATCACCTTATTGTTCCTAATTTTATCAAGAGATCATTCCAATTGATTTCTTATAAACATCTTGACCTATCTATGGCAGTGTGCATTTGGTTGAATTGTTGGAAACCGGGGAATATTTTGCGATGAAGGCTATGGATAAGAATATCATGCTTAACCGCAACAAGGTATTCAAGTTTATTTTTTTTTCCCTTTATAAGATGTAACTTCATTTATCATTGTTAAATCAATAATATTTTTGTAGATAGCATTGAAATCCTTGGTCTCCTCCATAAATTTTGTTCCTATCATTATTTTAGCTAGCAGTCAATGTTTACCGGTATAGCCTTTTACTAGTAGAGCCTGTCAAAGTAGTACTTGCGAGTGGGTTGACCAAACTTTACAAGGATCCTTCAATGCAAAACAACAAAGCCTTTATCCCAAATGTTTAAGGTCAGCTATATGAATCCTATTCTTCCATTCCGTTATATTATGAGCCATCTCCTTCGTTAAATTAACCGTTATCATATCCTTCTTAATTAATCCCAACTAAGTTCTTGTAGGTCTAGCTCTAAATATCTTTGGCCCATTAATTATAATATTATCACATTTCCTAAACGGTGCACTAAGAGGTCTCCGTTGTACATGACCAAATCTATTCTCTCTCATTTTATCCTTAATTGGAGCAACCTCTAATTTACTATAAATGCACTCGTTTCTTATCCTATCTTTTAGTGTATACGGACAAGACCATCGTAACATTCTCATTTCTACTACGCTCATTTTTTGCACATGTTTCTTAATTGCCCAACATTCTGACCTATAAAGCATTGTTGGTCATATAACTGTCCTATAGAATTTTCCCTTTAGTCTCGTAGGCATTCTGCGATCACATAGGACTCCTAAAGCACTTCTCCATTTTGACCATCCTGATTTGATTCAATGGTCAACATCATCCTCAATCTTACCGTCATGCAAATGATTGATCCCAAATATTTAACTCAAATTCTATGCACATCGATATCCCTTAAACTCAAGTTCAATATTTAAGTCAAATTGAGATGAAGTTCTACTGTAACACTGTATCTTTATCACCAACTTGAAATTGAAATACTCTCAATAAGGAACAAAGACCATGATGTCCCTATTCTGAATCTGTCTTTTGTGCCTTTCCTCCTTTAGATGTCCTAGATCTTGTTTGTGTCAAATAAGATATACATGTATAAATAATAAATTATCCTCTCATTGTGATGTATCATGCATTTTGAGTAAACATGTTGCTTGGGAAGGGGAGGGGGGTACGCGCGCGTGCGTGGTGCACACACGTTCAGTTTTCAGTTTATCTTCAGCAACACTTTTTGACTCTAGCAGTCAATCTTGTTTGGTCAAGAAATTAATAAGCCATGGTGCAATTTTCTGAATTTATGTTATTTATCTTCTGCTTCAGGTTCATAGAGCTTGTGCTGAAAGGGATATACTTGATTTGTTAGATCACCCTTTTCTTCCCACATTATATGCATCTTTCCAGGTAAATTACTTTGTAAAATGCTGTTAAATTCCAGGCTGAAAACTTATGCCTAGATCTTATTTTTGTATGCCTTGATTAAGTAATGATTCTTCTAATGCATAGTCAAAAATTTTGAACCTAGGCTGGACTGAGGTCGTGCAAGTTCAGACATAAATTTGCAATCTGACTGCTAGCCTAGACATATACACATGAGTTACTTCAAAATATCAAACCTTTAAGGAAAGTTTTTTCTATGACAACACAATAATGTAATATATGGGCATAGTGATGTTGATTTTTTTGAGTGTTGTTGAATTATTTTTAACAAAATATCTGGAGTAGTATGTGACAACTTCTTCAGCAATTGGAATGCCTAAGATTCTTATAGATGCATTAAGTGCGCAAATGACCTTCAATTATATATTTGATGCAGCACACGGCAAAGAAAATGGACCTTCTGGAGTCAACTGACACATTTGATAAATCTTTCCCCAAATCTTAATTTAAGAAAATAAAAGTAGAATTCTTTTTACAAGCCATCACTCTAGTAGGTCTGACACTTATATTACATTCTCTGGATGACATCAATTTCTCATGAAACTTATCATTGTTGTCAAACATCATCATCACCATCAAGCCTTTCTCTATCCAAATGGGTGTTGTGGAGAAAATGATCCACTAAGAAGCCTCAAGTTGCCAAAATGTTACAACTGTCTACCAAATTGACATCAGATTTTTGTGTTCTGTTTCCAAATTCATTTTCCAAATTCATTTACAAGGAACCGCAGATGGATAGGTTTTTATTAGAACTTAGTAGGCCAGTGGGCTTGTAGGAAAACCTTCATTTTCATCCAATTTAAGCTTATGCAACCAACAAGAAATCCTCCACAATTCTACTAAAGTAAAAAAGTATCTAGAAGTAAAGGTGAAGAAGTTTAATTTCCTATAGGTATCTTGTTCAAATTTTTGCTTAACATATCGTTATGCTGTGTCAATTACAATATTTGCACCAATTTCTTCTTTATTTCAGACCAATTTTCATATGATAGTTCTGCGATGCAACATATGTCCACTGATATATCTTATGCATTTTGCAGACTAAAACACACATATGTCTCATAACTGACTACTGTCCTGGTGGAGAGCTCTTCTTACTACTAGACAGGCAACCTTTAAAGGTCCTCAAGGAAGATGCTGTCAGGTAGCGTTTCTTCTACCCTAGAGTATTACTATGAATAATTTGATGAGTTCTTTATGGAAGTTACAAGGAAAACTGAGCATGATAGCTTAAGTAGTAAGTTCTAACCGGAATTACCATCTCACTTTTCTTTCTTACGTATCTTTTGGAAACTGGCATCTGATTGAATTTTGCATTGTTCTACTTTTATCCAATCTTGTTCCTTATTTACTTTTCTGTTAAATTATTTAAAACTGTTTTTTAATATCAAATCAAGTTTGACACTTGAAATTGAATTTCAGAATCACTAAGTTAGATTGCCTCGACCGCTTTAGTTTTAAATTCATTCTGTTGACAGATAACATTAACATATAATATACATAGACATTTGAGTAAATACTTATATACATATCACACAAATAAGCCAGTGACACAAAATATCATTGCATGACATATTCTAATTATTTCTAAAATTGCCATATCTTATGCCTATGTTGTGTCGTATAGTTTCATAGTAACCATTCCTGTGACTGTAGCTGAAAAGAAAAAATGCATTATTTTCTATGCGAGAGTCCACAACTAAAAATACAGATTCTAATATAATAAACAGGGTTGTAGTCCTGGACTATGTGGATATCACTGACACATAGATTGATGAATACAGATTCTATGCTGCAGAAGTTGTTGTGGCACTTGAGTATCTTCACTGTCAAGGTATGAAGTTACATTTTATGATTTTATTAAAACTTTGGTAGCACATCATAACTAAGGTGCATACCTGATATATATTGGAACTTTATGCACCTATTTATAATGTGGGGATATTGCCTGCCTTTTATCTGTTGGTTTATAAACAATTTCTATCTTTTCAAATTTCTGTAACTTCTCCCTTGCTGCTTGAAGACATTGCTGCATTTGGCTGGTTTGCTACTAAGAAGTTTTTGTGTTGTTCCTTCTCATGAGTCATGAGTGAACTTCCTTCTTGTACCTTTTGTACATGAGAATTGTATATTTAATGCTGATTTCTGATAATTCTCACATATTACATTCAAATCGGATGTAAAAGAAAGTGGGAGATATTGGAAGGGTCTAAAGATGTTTCTGCTGTGACAAAACGTAGATGAAAGTTCATCTACCGTTATTTTGGTTCTTTGTTGAGCAGGAGGGGGTTGTTCAAATTCACATGCAACAGAAACTTTAGGAACCATCATGAATAGTATGATGATTATAAATTCAAAGGGTATAGAAGAAGCACTTGCATTGGATAATAACAAAATCTCAGACTATGTCCATTATACTCTAAACAATGAAGAAAACAAGTTTTCAGAATCTTACATGGTTCCGTGATGGTCATCACTCTTATAACTATATGGATTATGTCAGTAAATATTTCTCATTCCTATAAGCAACGATGTCTACATGCAAGTTTTTTGTCCCTGTGGATGCAGCACTTGAAAAAGCATTTCCATAGACATGTCTCCCATTTTTACATTACTATAGTTTTTTTGGGCAGATGTTGGATTGGATTAAAAGTAAAATATAACTGTAAATCTTCTAAAATTATGACTCTACCCCAAACAGCCTAAATGCACTAATGATTGTATACTTGTTCTGGATTTCACCTTTTGTGGCCAGACATAATCTAGTAATGGACAGTATATTTCAGAAAGTAAAAAGCTGATGAAGGTACATTGCATTTTCCCAATGTAGGTGTTATCTATAGAGACCTAAAACCAGAAAACATCCTGCTGCGAAGAGATGGACATGTATCTCTGACTGATTTCGATCTGTCATGTTTGACGTCTTGCAAACCAGAGGTACGTTGGTTTTCTGATGTCTTAATTATGTTAATTTATTAATTGTAATGAAGACCAAATAATCCACTACAGTCTGCTGTGTATATAGTAAGGTGTGGCAATGGAAAAACATTTACCCATTTACCATAATATTTGGGGTACAGATAAGTTTTTGTACCCTTTTAGTTAAGCAGATGGGAAAAGTATCCAGTGCCGCCTCTATATATAATGGTATTAGTGTTACACTTCAATTAGCATTCAGATCTACTTGCTTATGAATCTGCATATTTGATAAAACAGAGGAAGCTGTGTTATGAATCTGCATTTTTTTTGCCAAGGAACCAAAGCTTATGAAAATCACTCATATATGGGTCATCCATGAATCGGGGTCTCTGTTTGTAGATAAGCTACATTCTTTAGATACTTCAGCTCTTCATATTACTGTGTATAAACTGACAAGTCTACTGTTCATTTTCTAGCTTTTGCTCCCTTATCCCGAGGACATGAAAAAACAGAAGAAAGGAAGAACTCCTCCAATTTTCCTGGCGGAACCAATGAGAGCGTCAAATTCCTTTGTTGGGACTGAAGAATACATTGCACCAGTATGTGCTCTCTAAAATTGTGAATGAATTTACCTGGAAATTAAACTTATGTCAACTTATGTTTGGATATCTGTATGTCGGCGTGGCATAGCAAGTAATGACATACTACCAGTGAGTCAATTTATTAGTGTCACACAAAAGGAATTATTACTGTGCATATTTATCATCATTCAAGCATTTGTCACATTAAAATAGGTTAAGTATGGATATCAAAGAAGGATTTATCTAATTTGTTAATCAAGCTATTAAATATTAAGTTCTTTTCATTCTGAAAGCTTGTTTCCCATTTTATCTTGCCATTGTTTCAGGAGATTATATCTGGAGCTGGTCATTCTAGTGCAGTTGACTGGTGGGCACTTGGTAAGTGTTGATTTCCTACCTTATTGTTTTGCAAGACATATGTATATGTTGAAATTTCCAGGTCTAATAAAAAGTTCAATTGAGACCATGGAACCGGTAATTTGCCAAAAGTAGAGAACAATATGAAAATATATTTTGATCATATCATGAGAACCTACTAGTGTACCACTATAAAGTCTACTGGCATCATAATAATAAGAGATCCAGATGATATAGTTCTGCTGGTTGCAATTTTCTTCATTTGTTTCTGCATTTATCTCAGATACTCTGCCTTTCTTTCTCATAGTATGTTAATGCACGATAAAACTTCTATGATAGGCATTCTCCTACATGAAATGTTCTATGGATATACCCCATTCAGAGGGAAAACAAGGCAAAAGACCTTTGCCAACATTCTTCATAAAGACCTCAAATTTCCTGGAAGCATTTTGGTGAGTCTTTGATCTTGGGACTTTAAACCTTACTCTCTCTTGTACTTCACTTTGTTAAGTCATAGAAAATGAGTTCACTCATATTTTCAGGTTAGCGACCAAGCAAGGCATTTAATGCATCGTTTGTTGCATAGAGACCCTAAAAATAGGCTGGGTTCCTCTGAAGGTGCTCATGAGATTAAGAAGCATCCATTTTTTAATGGTATCAATTGGGCTCTTGTACGGCGCACGGTAAAATATTTTCCCCAAATTATTCAGCAATTTATGCAAACTTCATCTATGCTCTTTTATAGGCAGCAAGTTAACAAGATAAACATAAATAAAGCTTTTATCCTAAGTTTTTTGGGGTCGTTTGCATTAGTCCTATTCTTCCGTTCAGTTCAGTTAAGAGTTATTACTCCATTAAATTAACCATTATTATATCCTTCTTAATTTTTTACAACCAAGTACTTTTAGACCTAGCTCTAGATCTCCTTGTCCCATTTATTATAATCTTATGGCTTATCCTAGCTGGTGCATATAGTGATCTCCACACATAGCCAGACCATCTCAATTGCTTCTTTCTCATTTGGGTAAATTGCACATGACCCTTCTCATATATACGTTCAGTTGCAATTAACACCCCTCGGCACTCAGCATCCTTGGATTGTCATTTTTAGAAAAATTAAATTGCACGTAGCACCCCTGAATTGAGGGGACCCAAGTGTTAGTAAATGAGTTACAGATGGGTTTTTTTGGGGAGGGGGGTTGGGTTGGGGGCGCCGCTGATGGGTGCAATATACCCTTCTTATTTTATCTTCAATAGGCAGAAAGAGTTAGTTGTTGTAAAATGCAAGTAGCTTCCTTGTTTATTTTCAAAAAAGGAAAATTTGTCATTGATATTTTTGCGGACGAGGAAGATCCTGACTCCTGATCTCCTTTGTTGATATTTTACTCTTTAACTCTTTTTGAAATGGGGGACCTATTCATATATTTAGATGTCATTTCTCTTTCTGTTTTATTTGCTTGTTGTTTCTTTGAAGATACCTTTAATGAAGGATTTGTGTATTTCTTGTGCAGACCCCTCCTAAGCTCGACGCACCATTATCTTTCGATATTGACATTGAGAAGGAAGTTAAGCCTGCTGATCCTCAACTTGTGGATCTCCAAGAAAATATATTCTGAAAGGTACTTACTGATGATGTACTCAACTTTCGTATATTATTTCTGTACTTGTTTCCTGAATGATTCATCCACGGGCTTAATTCCCCATGTTAGGCAATTCCAAACTTCACCCTCTTTATCTCATAAAATTTAGTTGTCACAATATATCTGAGTAGTTTCATAAGCTCATTTTTTTTTATGTTTTCTGATTCAGATGTGACAGGTTTTTACTACTGCTTCTCCCAATAAGGGACATTGAAGAAATATTCAAGGATCAAATTTTGTATTCGTGTAACTTTAGAGCATTTGTTAGCAGAGACCAGAAATAATTTATGTATTGTCAATTTAATTTCTTTCCAGTGATAGTGCTTACTTCTGTATTAGATCGTATCAAGCAAATAATTGAGATGCATCTTAATTTTGGTTCCTCTTGTAAACATCTGCGATTGTCATTTTCCAAAATGAATCAAAATATTCTGTTAGTTTACATTGTCCTAAGGGAATTTTGGTCTCTCTTGTAAACATCTGCAAAATATTCTCTCAGTCCCACTGTACTATCTGCAAATTGAACTTACTACCCCTGTAATTCTATTGTTGAACATAGAGCCCACTGAGTGAATTATTTCTTTATACCCTTTTTGGGAGTCTATCCGCAACAATAGGTTTTCACTCAGAGGGGGTCTATTTGCAACAGTAAAACTACATTGGTAGTAAGTTCAGTTTGGTCATGATACAGAGAGTCTATCCGCAAATAATATTGATCAAATAACTGAAACTTTATAGACAGCATTTGATTTGAACTATTGACAGCGATGCATGGTCTAACCAACAAGCTCCATGTATTTGGATTTCATTTGCTATTTATAATTCAGAAAATACAGAATTTGTTATTCATAATTTCTAATTGCATATGCATGAGTTGTCACTTTGGTCTGGAGTCATGACAGGATACTTGTACCTTATTTAGACCATCTCCAGCAGGTAGGCAAATTTTTACCCTCTCTCTCCTGCCACATCACTTTATTCTCCCACCACATAATTCAATAATACCCATTTCCCTATCAACTCTGCAGCAGCTAGTTTTTCAGAAAGTTTTTTACTTTATTTGGGACCCACCATAACCATATCATTCCAACATATACACCACCATATATTATTAATTCATTTTTGCTTATTATTTCATATATGTTATTGTTATTATTGCCACTCATATATTTATAATTTTTTATTAAAGCAATAAATAATATATAATATATAAATATATTAATTTTTTTGGTGTCCAAATTATACAAACTTAGTCTCTATTTATAGATCTTGAAAAATAAAGAATAATGGTGCAAAAAAAAAAATTAAATTCAAATTTTTTAAATGCCTAAAACTCAATTTAAAAGAAAGGAAAAAAACTAAATTTGATGGACCAATAAAATCCTGCCACGTCGCGTGTGGCAGGGATTATGGGGGGCTTTTGATTTTTTAGTTTAATTTAATGCAGCTATGGGGCCCACTGTGGCCGATTTCACCATAGGGAAAATTTTCCCCTTCTGCTCTTCTTTTCAATTTTCCCCTCCCCTTTCCCCTCCTGCTGCACCCAAAAGTCCCTCAATTCCCTTCCTGCTACAAGTAGTCTTAGGCTTCAAAAATCTTCTGACCCTTCCGAATATATAGGAGAGGAATGAATAAATAAGGGACTGAACCGTCGGTCGGTTTGAAGTCGTTTCGATACTCGGTTCAGCTCCAATTTGAATTTTGGTTCAAATATGGTTCAAACTGGTTCAGAACTGGTTCAACCTGGTTCAAGACTGGTTCAGGACTGGTTCAGGACTGGTTTAGCCTGGTTCTCCTGGTCTGGTCTGGTTCAGCTTGGT